GTTTATTAATAGCGAATAAGTTTACGGTATTATAAAAGTTTAACGTACGTAATATGGCTTTAAATTTAGGATTTAATGCTTATTTAAAGCTTAAAAATATATAGCTATATTTACCGGTTTAAATTTCGTTTTAAATGTTTTTGTTTTAGTTATAATATTAGCTTAATGCTTTAAAACTGCTATATTATAGTACGTACTTTAAAATAAATATCGGCGTTAATAAAAATAGAAAAAAAACTAATAACGTTTTTTTCGATGTTTTTTAACTAAGTTTTATTAAATTAAAAAAGCAGGATAATTTAAATAGTAATAAGTTTTATAATAGCTATAAAAATATATAAAACTGCGTTTTTGCCGTAATTAGTTATAGCGATAAATATAGTATTAGTTTTTTAATAGTTTAGGCGCTAAATAGCGTTAATTTAATTAGGTTTAGTTTTTTAAGCATTAATAATATAGTAAATTATAACAGTAATAAAGTTTTATTAAAAGGCTTTATTATTTGCTATATATTTAAATATTTATTTATAACGACGTTTAAAATATTAACGGGAATGTTTATAGATTTTATTAAAGTTATAAATAACTTTATAAATATTGATTATATTAAAAAAGTTAAAAAAAAAAAGGCCGAAAAGCGTTTTGTTATTATTAAATAAAAACGAATTAATAAATATTATAACGTAAAAAATAAATAATTATAATATGTAAAAAAGCCGGCGTAAAATTATAAAACGTTATAATATAAATAATTTATCGATTTTTATATTTATTAAATGCGTACGGTTTATTTAAAATGTAGTAATATATAAAATAAAAGGTTAAAATTTACGTAGTTATTTTTTACGGCGGATAATATTTTTAGTTTATATTATAAAGCGTAAAAAAAAAACAACGTATTAAAGATCGGTTTGTAATTATAAAAGTGTATTATTTTTTTAAAAAAAATTAAACGGAGGAAAATATGCGAAATTAATAAGTTTATTTTTTATATTTATATTTTATTTAAATAGCTGTTTAAACTAGCGCCGATGTTTTTATTTAATTAATAAATAAGGCTTAAAAGATATTATAATTGCTTTATATACCGAAAATAATACGGCAATTGCGATTATAATAGTTATTTTTTTAATTTTTTTTATATCGGCTAAACTAGTGATTTTTATAAATATATAAAGTAAGTTAAATTATTGCTAATTTATTTTTATATTTTTTGTATTTATTATAAATAGGCGTAAATAATTTAAAAAAAATATATTAAAAAATATATTAATATATTTTATATTATAGTATAATTTATTTTTTAATTAAAGCTATTTTAATAAATTTAAATATAGTTATAAAATTAGTATTTTTAAAAGTATATAAATTAAACTTTTTTAATTAAACTGTATTATTTTTTGTAATTATATAAAAAATAATAAAAAGTTTATATTATTATATTTAAAAATTAATTATTTATATTCGAGCGTTAAGCTTTTATTAATATTTATTTTAATTAATTTTTTATTTTAAAGTAATATAATAAATGTTTGTTTTTTTTATATAAAAAAGTATATAAAACTCGATGTTTTTTTTATTAAAGCTTTAAACGTTTTTTATAAACGATTTAAGCTAATACGTATATTTTTGCTATTATAGCTTAATAGCGCAGGTATGCGACCGTGCTTTTAAAGGCCGAAGGCCTATTTTAATGCATGCGCCTATAGAAAGCACGTCTGATCACTGAGATAATCGAGCCCGTACTCCATGGATGGTCGTACTCGGTAGAAGGACTTTAGGGAAGTGCCTCATCTCCATGCCAGCGTTTTTATCAGATCTAAGCGAGGCCAGCCTAGCGACCCAGTAGGCGGGACGTCGAATCCCGTCAGCATGGCACTATCCTTAAATTGGATAATGACTATTCTGTGTCAGAACATGAAAGTTCTCTAAGTTACCTCTTAGCTAAACTGTACATGTACCTCCTTAGGTTATGTACCTGATGTTACATGTTCTGGTTGTTGAAACGTCCAACTTCTGAATGAATCTACCTACATGTAGGTAAACCGTACTCAGGTGGTATGCAAACCCGCCCTTTAGAAGACAGACGAGACAGAGTTTTCTTTCATCAGTCACAGCACTCGAGTTGTCGGTTGTCAATGTCATGCAGGGAACACTAGAGACCAATGCCGGGTTGCGTGTTTCTGGTGCAGAAGTGGTGCATTCGGATCCCGGGCTCCCGAATCCCCACGGACGGGGATCTGCATACAGCACAGCACAGGTGGGTTGCGGTCTGTCAATGACACGCCGCTGGACGTCTGCTGGACACGGTCGTTAGCGAGCTCGGTTGGTGGCGGACCACACGTCCAATGCGGTAGGTAGGCCCAGCTTCGAAGTGGGTAGGTGACGCCGCGGTGCCATGCAGTCGCTCTGGTGAGAATCAGAATACTAATAAGGCCACAGCGGATACGGCGTCATCGCTTTTTCAAGATTCCAGAACATTACCTTCTTTGGCCTCTGCGTCCCTCTGCTGTGTCGCACTCCCTTGCTTTGGCGCTGTGACGATAGTGTCTGACCACTTCGCGGCTGTCTTTGCTATTTCAGAAACAGGGATAGGGATACTGTTGGATACTGTTGCCTCTTGGAGATTTGGATCACATCTCGGGAATCCATGGTGTTTGACGAACAACTCTCTGATTTGGAGTATCGGTACCACACCACGGCTACTCCCCGACTGTTGTGAATCGTCACGTCCACGTCGATCCAGACCCGATAGACAGCCCAGCCGTGTGCCACGTTTAATATGGACGCCATTCGGGAAAAGTTGTTTCAGCCTCAAGAGTGGTCGGCCACTGTTTGGGTGTTGCTGCTCACCACTGCTGCGACGACCTTCTACCGCACCTTCTGGCGGCCATCGCTTCCAAAGAACGCGCCCAGATGGTTCAAGAGGAGTGACTATCCTTTTGTCGGCTCGGTGGATTTCTTCAATGGGCGCCGCGGCGACTTCTTCAAAGAGGGCATACAGAGCTCGGAAACGGGGAATTTCAGTTTCTATGTCGGCAAGAAGCAGATCGTCGGTATTTCAGGTTCTGAGGGTAGGAAGACGTATTTCGAGAACAAGGATCTCAACTTCGCCCAAGGGTAAGCACGAACACATGTGGCTTTACCATGCGCACTCGACTTATCATGCTGCCGTTGCCCGCTCCTATGAATTCGCACTAGTTACATACTAATGCGATTTGTGCACAGATTCGCAGAGCTTTTGACCGGACAGCCTGCGTCGCCTGGAGGCGGCGACGATGAGTTCAGTCAAATGTTCACCAAGAATATCATTCCCCTGATGAAGAAGGAGAATTTCGTCAAGAACCTTGACTTGATGACGGGCGACACCCGCGGTGCACTGGAGGAATTGGCCGCGGCACCGCCCTCAAAAGCCGACCCGGCATGGCGCGTCACCGATCCCTTCGAGAGCCTGTACGAGATTGTGTACCAGCTCACGATGCGTACGGTTGGCGCCAACGACATTGCCGAGGACCCCAAGACGCTGAAGGAGACGCTTGCCATCTTTGACTGGTTCGAGAGCGCCGATTCCTCCATCAAGGTGTATTTCCCCTGGTTGCCAACTCCCAACTCTCTGCTGCGCACGTACTACGGCGCAAAGCTCGCCCTGGTGTTCCGATCCATCATCGAGAAGCGCAAGAAGACCGGCGAGAAAGGCAAGGATGCTTTGCAGTTTCTCATCGATCGGGATCTCACTCTCCCCAACATTGTCGGAGTACGTTACATATGTTCCCTTCCGTTGCAACACTGACGCATGGAACTGTTACGCTAACCTGCGCCACCAGTTCGTAATCGGTGCTCTATTCGCCGGCCAGCTGAACAGTGGCATCAACGCCGGGTACCTGCAGGTATTCCTCACGCAGAATCCGGAGTGGATGGCGAAGCTGCGGGGAGAGGTCGAGGAGGCTGTCACGCGGCACAGGACAAGCCCCTCGCAGTCGCGCGCCGATGTCCTCGGGACTCTTTCCATTGAGGAGTGGGAGAGCGAGTTCCCGCTCATTGACCTGGCACTGCGTGAAACGATTCGCTTCTCGCTGCCGGGCACGTCGTTCCGTAAGAATGTATCGGGGCGTGATGTTCCTATTGGTGATACGGGCGAGGTTGTCCCCAACGGTGCTTTTGCTGCGTATTTGGTCGACGATATTCAGTTTGGAGAATGGTATACCGACCCGGCGAAGTGGGATCCGTCGCGCTTCTTTGACGAGCGGGCAGAGGACAGAAAGGTTCACCATGGGTATATGGGTTGGGGCGTCGGCCGACATCCTTGCTGTGAGTATTTGTTTCCGCTTATGGTATGAAAGCTCATTAATGGCCACACAGTGGGAATGAAATTCGCTAAACTCGAGATGGCGTTCATCACGGCATTCTTCGTTGCAATGTTTGACTTTGAATGCTCAGACAAGGACGGAAACAAAGTCAAGCAGATGCCGAAGACCATGGACCGAAACCTGCACTCCGCGAAAAAACCACAAGAAAATATTTACTTGCGGTATAAGTTGAGGACGGACTAGGCTCTTAAATGCTAATCGAAGTAGGTCTGGGGTATAATGCTAACCAGGGCTTTTGGAGAATGTGGAATAGTATGTTATGTATCGGCTTTGGATAGGATGGGTTGATGTTGGGTCTTCGATAGATGCCCACATCTACTAAGTTGTCGGGTAAGATACATTATACTATATCTTGAATCAATTAATAGGGTTATAGAAGACGAGTGATGCGAACCGGAGAAACTGCTCAGTGTCGAATTTTCATACGGCCGAGACGGCGTAGCCGGATGACTTTACCCCTTGCATGAATGTTGGTTACACTAAATCCTGTCAGAAGAATATTAGCTTGCTTCAAACGTTGCTTATTACTCACCTACATGTCACCTGTAAACTGAAAGGGGAAAAGTCTCGATAGAAAGAGAAAGAAAGAAGGAAGGAAAGGAAAAAGGGTATTAAGAAGAGAAAGATAGTAGACACCCGGGCCAGGAATCGAATCTCGGTCTGCGCTACCGCTATGTTCTCGAGATTGTAGTTTCGAGAACATAACGGCCGCGCTATCTTGCCATTAGACCACCTGGGCTTGTTCTTGATGGCAGTGCTTTGTCGGCATATACGAGGCTCGGTTCTACTGTGTTAAAGAAGAACGATGTAGTATGGTGAGAGAGGAGAATGGCAAGATACTGCTGACAATCCGCCTCACTTCAGTGTCACTTACTCTCTTCTATTCATCGTCACTCACAGCTCATTGTGTTGTACCTCATTCTTCTTACTGTGACTCTTTTTCGGGGACTGAGAGGCTCTTTTTTTTTTGACGACTTTGCCATTCGCTACTTGCATCATCATGAGACCAATCATTCTCTGGTTGGTCTTTATATGGGTAGCAGAATGAATATCTTCTCATTCGTCTTACATGAGCGAAGTCAATCCTTGACACCTTCCAAGCAGATATTGCGTTCGTAGCCACATATTGTTTGCTCATCATGTCAGGGCAAGAAAGTGTCACTAGATCGATTATTCAAGAAGACAACATGAGGGTGAAGTGCCGACGCCAAGTAGAATGCAAGCAGCAAGGGGCACAATATGTGTGTTTACATAATTCCGTCACCGTGATCGCTATGGTGACATTAAACTCAATACTCTCTCGTCTTGTTTGCCACGAAGGACAGTAGTTCGTCATTTTTTTAGTACCTAGAGACATTGGGCGGGATCACGATTAAGTCAATCCCTTTGGCCATACAGGGCATTCCCCGTCCTCAGCAGACAGAGCTATGGAAGCAATAATTTTCATAACCCGTCAGACTAATTCTGGTATCTTTCCCTCATTAGTACGTCCAAGTTGACCCAACGCCCCTGGCCAGATGCAATTCTGATTCTCTCATGTTTTCCGTAATGAGCCATTTACCAGTCGACACTGGTATTGCCACTGGCGAAGTGGTCGTTACCACCAACGGGCCAGTTATTATCTTGTTGATAGGAGGCCGTGGTCTCTCCATCCTGGCGGCCACTCGTACCGGCGGACTGCTGAGCCTGAACACCGTCGGCGCCAGGTTCCTACCACTGGCTCTCCTTGCCGGCCTCAGTAGCACCCCACTCGGCGGTGGGAGCAGCAGCAGTGGCACCAGCCCACTCGTCAGCGCCATCCCAGTTACCACCAGCAATAGGAGCATTAGCGGCAGCCTCCCAGTCACCACCACCAGTGAGAGCACCGCCCTCGATAGCGGCCGGACCGACCTCGTCAACACCGGGCAGCTTCTCCTCCTCAACCTTCTCCTCGGCCTCGGCCTCAGGATCACGGTCTGTAGTACGTATTAGTATAGACAGGCGAAAGGTCAGACCAGCGCAACATACAGAAGTAGAGATCAACCATGACATCCCAGGGAGTGTCACGGCTGGCAATGGTGCCACGGATGCGGAGCACCTCACGGGCGAGCATCCACCAGACGCAACCAATGGCGTGGCGACCCTTGTTGTTGGTAGGGATAGCAGCATCAACGAACTCGGTGGGGGAGTCGGTGTCGCAGAGGGCGATGACGGGAATGTTGACGTAGGAAGCCTCGCGGATGGCCTGGGCATCGGTGCGGGGGTCGGTGACTACAATGAGACGGGGCTCCTTGAACGAGCGGGTGATGTAATTGGTGAAGGAACCGGGAGTGAAGCGTCCGGCAATGGCAACGGCACCGGTGTGGGCGGCGAACTTGAGGACGGCACGCTGACCGTAAGGACGGGCCGAGATGACACAGATGTCGGCGGGGTTGTCGACGGCGGCGATGATGCGGGCAGCGAGGACAATCTTCTCCCTGTTGTGCGGTCGCAATCGTTAGCTCCTAGGCCGTTCGGACGCGGCTCGTGCTGAGCGAATTGAAGCATCTGCATACCAGGTCTTGCCGACGTTAAGGACGTTCACGCCGTCAGCGCGGGTCTTCCAGAGGTAGGGCTCCATGTGAACCTGCAAGTTCTTAGAGCCGAGGTGAGCCTGGGCGGCGAGGAGCATCTCGATATCCTGGCTGGTGGCAGCCATGCAGGCGGGGAGGTTAGCGGGCGCCATCTTGAAGGTTGATTTGCGCGATGGTGCGAGAGGTGAGGTTGTGGTGAGCGCGAGACTTCGTGATGTGCGAAGAGGAAGGAAAAGTTCGCGATGCCTCACGAAATTCCCTTGGGAATATTGGAGCTCCAGAATTTTGGTGGGCTGTTTTACATGACCTAGGGTAAGCGATCGGAGCTTAGGCAGGTGGGGGGTTTCTCGCGCTGATTTTCAGGGCAGTCGACTGGACCCAAGCGCTGGCTGAGCCACAATATCTGCTCATGCAGAGCTAGGTGATGGCGCAGGCAATATGTGGCTGGCAAGGCTGGACTGAAAGACGACGGGTTCCGCTTTGATGCAGCAGATACCTTTCAGCTGCCGGCCATTGGCAGCCTTCACAGCCCCCCTGTCAACGCCCAACGCCAAAGGTTAGCCCGAGACAGTGGATTCGAGTGGAAGATCTACCTCGCAAAAGTTGAGACACTGTTGGTGTCTGCACAGGTGCGTTACCTGCGAGCCATTCCATCTCAACGTCACATAGCCATGCCTCCCAGGATACCAGGCGTCCAACGCCTGAATAGCTTCTCATGTAAGCTATCATCCCCATCGAGCTTTGTCAATCACCATCTCGTCTAACCGAGCCGCAAACCCAGTATGTCTCCGACCTGCCATCAAGCCATCCACACCATCGCTCCTCCCCATCACCCAAACAGCATCCATATCACAAAAAGAGAAGCGTCGTCTCGCAAAAAAAGACCCCTACAGATGGGCACAAATGCAGCAGCGTAAAAACGCTCATCTCGAGATTCGCCAAGGCATCGAAGCTGCCCGCGACCGCGAACAAGGATATGGTGATCCCGTCCGTGGCTTCACCACGCCCTTCGTTGAATCATTCGACTCAGCTGGTCAGGCACCTACCTCAAACCCAGCACTAGATATCAACGGCCAACCCGTCGGAGAAACACATCCTCTGCCTACCTCGCCTCACGTGCTGAACCACCTCATCCGTAAGGAAGAGTTCGCCGATGCCGTCGAGCAGGCCTATGCCCTTACGAAGCCGAGCTCCATCGCTGCTGAGTCCGACCCGGAACTCATGAGGACACAGACGGAGGAACACGAAGCTCAGCATGCCAAGGTCGTTGAGGCACTCACGCGCATCACGCAGTTAGAGAATGGATCCAGCAAGGACAAGCGACATGCCAATATCAGGAGATGTATCGAGACGTTTGGCAGACATAACACCGATCGATCTCTGCCACCCAAGGCCCTATCAAGAGGCCAGGAGAGAGAGGATAGGCCCATACGCGCTGGCCCGGATACGGGGAGTAGCGAAGTCCAGATAGCTATCCTAACCGCTAAGATTCGGGCTTTGGCCAACCAGTTAGAGACAGGGCGAGGATACAAAGACAAAGTCGGCAAGCGAGACTTGAGACTTTTGACCCACAGACGTCAGAAGCTCATGCAGTATATGGAAAGGAAGGAGAGAGGAAGTGCGCGGTGGCAGCACATGGTCGCGACTCTCGGTCTGAACGACTCTACTTATAAGAACCAGATCACCTTGTAGGAATTGGATAAAGGGACGGAAGTTGTATGATAGGTGATTCGAAAAACGCATGTACCTATAATGCCGTCTACTATGTAATGTACAAACACAACTCGGGCAGGTTGAACAAGCTACCACTTTGCTTGCCTTCTATGATCCCATCCTCTATGAAAGTCATTGTTGGAGACAAGCTTCACCTTCCATAGTAGATCGAGTCCCTCCCGTTGGTATCCTCTTACGCATTAGTGCTACAACATTTTGAGAGCAACAAAAAAACAAAAAAGCAGTTCCCAGGCAGGTGAATCCATTAGAATACACTGATGTAGTTACCAATCCTCTCCTTTTGGTTCTGTGCTATGCACTCAGCAATCCACGTGATATTGCGGATTTCCTGTCACGAATTAGCCTCTCCCGCACCCCGGAAATCTGATGCAATGGTAAAGTTGACTCACCTGCTCTCTTAGTTTCACCCAGGCATAAACGATAGCGTGAGTGAACTGCCTGGTAAAAGCATTCTTGGAAATCTCCATCTCCTTCTGATAAAACATATCCTCCAGGCTCCTCTCATTGCCTCCAGAACCACCAGCCATATTGCCCGGTCCTGAGGGTCCGCCGCCCAAGCCCGCAGCGTCGAAGAAAGACTTGAAATCCGACACACCGTCGACGGCCAAACGCACGCCCTCAAAGTCGTCTGCCCTAGAGAGCATGAGGGTGCCTTCGGGGTACAAACGTCCGAAGCTCGGGTACAGCTTCTTACGATCCGCCTTGCTGAGCTCGGTGCCGAAGGAGTTGAGCGTGATGTTGATGGCGCGACGGTCGGCCTCGAACTCGAGTATCTCGGACATGACTTCGGCAGTTGGGGTACCGGTCATGTCGGGGTGGGTGTTGACGAAGTTGTGGAAGTCCTCAAGATAGTTCTTGTACAGCGTATTTCGCACGATTTCAATGTTCAGCTCGTCGAGATCCTGGTGGCTGAGGGATCCCTTGAAGTAGGGTGCGAGAGGTGTCTCGATGAGCACGCTGTTGTACAGTTCCTCGATATTGGTTGCGACGCAAAGGACAGGCATCGTCTCGAACCACCCTAGGGGGTGACATCTTTCAAGTAGCTCGCGCGTATCCCGTTCGTGGAGTGTGCCGGTGATGAGGAGAGCGACGTTGTCGATCATGTATCCATACGTGAGATAGTCAAGGAACTGCGCCAGCGAGCCGACGGCATTGGCGCGGAGATATCTGAACTCGGAGACGAGCTTGTCTGTGGTTTTGGCGGCGAGGCTGGATGTGGATGGGTTGGGAGGGAGAGAGGCGAGAAAGTCGCCGTACGCGGGGCCCAGCTGGAGCTTGAGGTCTGGTTCCGGTCAGCACGTTGGTTCGGGGCGTGATAGCTGGTGTTGATGCTGATGACTGCATACCATCTATGGTCTCGCACTGGGTGAGGTTGGAGTAGTTGGAGCCCGTGAGCAAGCCGTTTCGATAGCCCCGGACAATACCCTCGATGTAGCTGTAGACATGGACTTAG